TCGGGTCGATCCGCCCGTGTTGGGCCGCACAAAACTAGTTGTGGTTCCTTCGTGAGGATCGAAAGGCCCATCAAGTGCAAAAGCTTGTCAACCTAAGTGTGCCGAGATGAGGTTTCCAATGGAGTCGGCTGGAGGCCATGGAATCGGTCGACGAAATGCAGGGCTGAGGGCGGCCATTGGGGCCGCCCAGATCAGGTAGATGTTCTCATAAAAGGATCTGTCTCGAGTCAGCCGTCGGGGCTTACAGCCATCATCGCACAAAAGTCCAGCTCCGGAGTTGAACAAGACGGCCTGGTAATGGCCCTGATCAGGAGAGCTGCCTAGGTGAAGGACCCCGGCCACAATCTGATATTCCGTCCATGTGATGGAACAATGGTTGTAGCCATCAAAGACGGGTAGCTGGATGCAGTTGCGGTCCCACGTAATGGCCTGACGGTGACGATGATTCAACCTAGGATGCCGCTCAAGCTGCAAACAAACCCAAGAGCTTGCAGTTCTCAGGCCATTCAACCATGGTCCATAGTGATGCCATTGCTGGATCACCTCTTGCAAAGTCGATTGGACCTCAGGCAAATCACGAAGGACAATGGGGGCAATGAGGGAACCGCTGTCTTCTGTGGTGGTGAACAGTCGGGAGTCCCAAGCATGGATCGTGAGGATCCCATCCGGCATCAGACTCTTTTCAAACATCTGAGCTCGCATCCAACTCGCAAATTCCCCTGCGTCATGTTGCGCAGTCATTGCATGAGAGGTGAACCATTCTGCAAGCTTGCTACCTAAAAGCGAAAATTGGCATGGATTGTGAGCCTCCCCTGCATGTGTCGTGAACATGCACAAAATCGATTGCGTCCATGCTCCCCAAGTGTCAAGCTCGAGTGGTGTCGTCAAAAGCGTGGTCCAGACCTGAGCCAGCAAAGCGCTGTTCAAATAGCACATTGAACCTGGGTTCACGAGGCTTGTCGTCAGGATGCCTCTCAGGACTTGCGCAATCTGTGGGAGATTGCAACCGCCAAGGGCGATCTCTGCAACGTGGTCTGACGCATCCTCATAAGGATGAGTTGTGTAATGCCGTTGCCGGCCAACTTGAGCAGGAGCATATGTAGTTCCTGAGCTTCTGGACCCCGAAGGCTCACGTCCAGCCTCCATGGAATTGCGATGGCGGCATCTTGTGGCAAACTGTCCTGCGTCAGCGGTCGCAGGGCTGCAAATTTCAACACCAAATTGGGGTTCTCGCCCAGCTGATGGATCCGTCGGAGAGTCTGACAGACATCGTCGGACGTCAGTGGAGTCTTCTGGTTCGGCTGTAGAGCCTTGGCTTCCGGGTTCCATGACAGGTACTGCCATTTCAGATCCTCGGTCAGGATTCCTTTGGCCTTGAGGCCAAGAACCAGTGCGTCTTCTTTTGCCGTCAGGTTCAACTTGCTGGCCCGAGTGATCAGTTCGGTGAACACTGCTTGGAACATTGTCTGTCGGAGTGAAGTTGTCGTTTCCCCTGCTTGGCGCTGAGTGTGCCACTGCTTGCCCAGTTCGAGCAGGGATGGCATCAATGAGCCCTTGCCACATTGAAGAAAGATCATCAGGCTCCGATCTAGTCCAAGCTGGTTCAGGGTGTCCTCCTGCCGAAGGACCAGTCGGCTCAGCATCTGGATCAGGTCCCCATCCCTGCTGTCGGATGTACTCGTGGATGATGTCGAGTTCCTTTTTCGTTGCTCTCCGCCATTCTTCGGAGGGCCGGTGGACGATGTCTCGTGTCGTGGCCGCTTGAAGCCTTCTTGGCATGCAGTCAGCAAGTCCTGGAAGGACTGATCGTCTTCGGTCTGTTGCAGATCCATCGTCTGGCGGATGGGTCAGCTGGTGCAAATCGTTTTGGGCCAGGATCTGTGTGAGATGACCAAGTATCTGTTGGATGACTTGAAGTTGCTCATGTGTGGTCTCGTGAATCGGAATTGCATGCCATCGCTGGTGAGGAATGCTCTCTGTATCCAAGGCCCAGGCCCATGCAATTGGTGGCTGATGTCCAAGTACACGAATCATGGCAAATGCCTGATCAGTCACAAAGGTGGTGTGTGGCATCTCGGGAAAATGCGAAAGCCAGTCTGCTGTGTGCCTAAACCAGGTCAGGCCCTGTAGTGGGGTCCAGCACGGTGTATAAAGCATGGGAAACCAAAGATGCGCAAGCTCGAATGCTGGACATGACGTTGAATCATGCTCACGGCCGGCCTGACTGAGATCGAAGTACCTGTGCAGCAAGGCTGACAGTGGGTGATCAGCCACCGGATTGTTGCGGGCTGATGCAACGACTATGGTGGTGCCAAAGTGTTGTGCTTGGGCCCATTGACAAATCAAGACTGGACAGGAGCCTCGTTTAAAATGAGTGATCAATGCCTGTTCCTTGGTGAAGGTACTATAGCAATGACGACAGGTCAAACTACCTTGAATCATGTCTTACCCGTGTGCACAGCTTGATGTTCACGGCGCAAATGACCAATCAAAGCTTTCCGGCCAATGGTTTCAAGGCACAATGGGCACTCGAACTGCTTGGGTGCCTCCGGAATGGGTCCAGCAGGTGGGAGGCCTAGCATCTGTTGAATGGTTCTGGATGTTTTCAACTTCTTGGAGACCTGAGCCGGAGGGGCAGTGGTCTGAACACTCGAAGAGGCATCATGACTTTCTTGCATGTGTTGAGTCAGTCCTATGGCAGACAAGAAGGCCATCTGACAACGTGTGCATTTGTGCAAGCTAGACGAACCTCGGTGTCCAGTCTGTGAGCAGGATGTTGATGACTGACGGCTGTCACTCGGAGAGGCCTTCTGTTTCTCGTCCTGTGTGGTCGATGTCCTGGTCAGGCGAGAGGTCGAACGATCATCCTCTGGGCGATCTTCTGGCAGCGTTCGAAGCATGACAGGCATGACTGGAAAGTGCGACACATCATAGGTCTGCCCTAGCATGACACTGAGTTGAAACAGAACTCCACATTGATGGCTCTGGACATTATGACTAGCTTGGTCACAAAGGATGCATTGGCCCTTTCCAGATCCGAGTTGGGCGAATCCGTACACCTGTGCCCGATGCAGTGGTTCATATTGCAGGAGTTGCGGATGAGCATCTTTGTAGTGTCTACGAATCAATTTAGCAGCAATAGCCGAATGGCAGTAGGCACAATGATTGGCTAGTTCGCTCATGAGGGCTTTGTTGAGGAGCAAGCCTGGGATGCTTTTGTATCTGAAATGCATGCGAAGATCTGGTCGGTCACCGATCGGCACAATGGTGTCCTTGGCAGGGTCAAAAGACAGGCAGACTCGCTTGTTAATGTGATCTCTGAATTTGTAAAAATCAGTGAATTGTTTCAAACAATGTCTGCACGTGGAATGACCATTCAATGCATCACGCAACGGAAGAAAGAGATCCTCAGGATGACATGCAATCTGATGATATTCCCTAAGATGTCGTTTATATGATCTGGCCTGAGTGAAGGCTCGGGCACATTCCGGGCATCGAAGGACAGGTTCCTGTGGCATTTGCATGGAATCACGGAGGGGTGGACTAATTTGCGCTTCAGGATATGCTGGGACCGTGACACAAACATCTTCGACTGATTCATCCATGGCCGAACTGCGGAAAAAGTCCCGTCGGTGGTTCAAGGCTGTCTTGAGTCTTTGAAAAAGGTGTTGCAGTGTAATCCATGGAGGCCTAAGGCCAAGCGAGGTGAAGAATTCTGCGGTGGGGATGCGAGTGAGATGTACAGGGGCATGTGCAATCAGGCGATGGTGGTTATTAATCATGCCAATGATGTCTTGACTGCATTTGTAGGTGATGCCCATCTCAAAGATCCCATACAACACAGTAGGAAGAATCCATTAGTTGTACAACCGAATTCGGATCTTGATGTCATGATGTTTATCAAGAAGCCACCTGCGGAGAATTCGAAAGCACGTTTAGGATGCTGTGATCCGACGTCTGACTGTGTCAGCTTCCCATGCTCTATAACTGACAATGGTGCCGAGGTACGAGGTTTTGCTCACAAGAGGGATCGTGAAGTTGGTATCTAGTAGGTGCAGTATAGGTCTACTTGTCCATCGGCGGAGAAACGGATTCAACGCGCGGCCAACGCTATTCTGTTGATTAATACGAAGGCCATATGCACTGAACACTCTAAACAGGAAAGACAAGTCATGTAATGCCGCGAGGCCCTCACTCGGTGAGGTGAGAATCCATCTAAGATGGATATCATCTACGTATATCAGGAAGTGGTTGCATGATCATACTAGGCTAAAAGATCGTGAAGGATTAAATACATACTAATGGTCCAGAAGAAGGAAGCGTCTTTAAATCCTTGTTTAATACGATCTAAAGCTTAGAGCATTCCAACCAATTCCTTGTAGGAAATATATCTACCAATAATATATTTACCAATTTATCCTTAATTATTATTATCCAATAATATATTTACAATTATTTATATTTATTTTTTCGAATTTTAATTCGAATATTTACTAATAATTAAAATATATCGATTTATATTTAAATATAATATTTAAAATAATTTAATTAAATAATTAAATGTATATATTATCGATAATATATTTATATTTATTTAAAATATATTTTCTAAATTAAAAATTAATATATAATTAATATCCTTAATATTATTTATCAAATTAAATATAAATCAATTTTAATAATCTATAAATTTAATTAATAATTATTTATAATATTAATATAATAATATATATTATGTCCAATTTTTATTCGTTTTCAAATTTTAAATTGTTCCTATTCAAAAATAGAGTAAATTTATTCATTCTATTCCCAAATTTCCTAATATTCAATTCATCCATCCATCAAATATTATAAATTAATTTATCGATTAAATTTCTAAATTAAACATATTTTTTTCAAATAAATATAGTTAATTAAATTAATATATTTAAAATTCAATATTATTTCTAGAATATATATGTGTATAATATATATATATATATATTTGTTTGAATATATCTTTACCGTGTTTTCAGCATTCCTGAACCACTTGCCTCCAATATACGATCGATTATTTGGATCGTCAATAGAAAGGATGATTCCTGCAAAGTCAAAGGTGAAAATGCATTCCTTGAAAGAATTGTTCGATGTGTCTCCTTAGCATCGGGAGGTTCTTGATTCCGAATGGATTGACGAAAGAAGCCAAGTTGATGCTCGAACCTGAATCTGGAGGAAAGTCTCGAAAGAAATTGCTGAGAGTCAAAATGTAATTCGCTCAGTTCAGCAACCTCAACAACATTTTAAGTCTATCTCTTCATTAGAACATCAGATTATTCCAATCAGGGTTTTGATAGAATTGACTTGTTTGAAGATATTCCTCTGGTCCAGTTGAGTGGTGTTCCCTCTCAGCTTGCTGCGTAGTCTCTCCAGCACCATAGAGCTGCTCGGAGGTGATCTTGCCTGCACCTCAGTCGGTACACCCTTCAACTTCCAGCATACAAACATAGGTGCTTCCATGCATTGTTATATAGCAAATAACTACGGCTAGTCAAGCTGTCATTCTGGTGGTGGCTTCAAAACGTTTTCTTCTAGCTATGAGCAACAAGTCTTTTCAATCCACCCCCTGGTTCTCTCTTGAAACAAGCTGGCAAAAACACATACAGCAATTCCATCCAAAGCACTTGCAACATCCAATCGATGCCAAACAAAGGGGAAACCAAAATTGTGGAGCTGCAGACTGCTTGCCTCACAGCGAACATCTCAGCCCTGCTTGTGTCAAATGTTTTGAATGCAGTCCCTTCAAAATAAAAAAGATGCCAATTGGGTTCCGATATATACAGTAATGACCCTCAAGATCCCTCAAGCATGTCTCACCTTGTCTGCTAAGCCATGTTCTGCAATGCTCCAGGAAAAGGGCTCCCATAGGTTGTCTCTTGCCATATAGAGAGTTGCAGTAGCGGTGGAAGCAGAGCGTTGAAGCTTCAAAGTGGCAGAGATTGAAAAACGATCCTCCTTTGCAAAGATAACTTCTGCATCTATTGCACCAGTGCTCCATAAGAGCATATCAACGCAATAGTACCACCGGTCCAAATTCTTGATTCTCTCGTGAAATCTGTCCTCTTGGGTCACTGGCTTCGAAATACCCAAAAGCTCCTTGAATATCGACAACAATGCCTTTGGATCCAACATGGAAAACCGCGCCTCAAAATCTGACAGCCCAACGTCTCTTTCTTTCAATGTAAGCTGTTTGAAGCGTCGTGCAGCTGGATGGTAGCGATGATGGGCTGCTTCAAAAACTTGCAGCTTTGTCTCGGCCATGGCTCCTATCAATTGTTTTGCCTCCTCCATGTTCAAGACAGCTGGCTTCTCCAGAAGGACATGTTTCCCTGCACGCAAGGCTGCCAACGTCCATTCAAGATGGAGGTGTGTTGGGAGGCCAACATATACAGCATCGACATCCTCACGAGCTAGCAGGTCCAAATATGCTGTTGCTCCGCCGTGAAAGGCCGGAATGCCGTGTTGCTTCGCAAACGTCTCAGCTTTGGTCCAATCACGCGCTGCTACAGCTGACACTAACACATCCCGGCGCTTGTCCGCTGCATGTACCACGGCAGCTCGTGCAATAAAAGAAGCACCTAAAATGCCAATGCGCAAGGCATCTTTGTCCTTGCCATCAACAAGCACTTGCGGTATTCGCCAGAGTCGCAAAATCACCGGCCAAACCCACCAAACCGCTGATGCCAGCACTGCCGCAGCAGCCCCCAAACATGAAACGAAAAAGTAAAATCTCATGGCAGTTGCCACACAAGAGCCTAATGATAATCCTGCCGACAGCAAGAGCAGCCCCTAGTAGCGTCCTTGCTCCTAGTAGCTTCTTTGCTCCTAGTAGCGATGCCAGGAGCCCCTAGTAGCTTCTTGCTCCTAGTAGTCAGGCCAGGAGCCCCTTGAATTCTGCTTTGCCATCATAACATTGCCTCTGCTGAGAAACTGCGGCACAATCAGAACCGAGTTGCGAAGCGTCCATGTCACTTATTCACTGCAGCAAAAGGATCCATGAGGATCCATGAGGACTTTTGTCAAAGCTTCTACGAATCACTTTCGGAGGAGGCCGAGCCCTCAAACCGGACCTGAAGACAGTCGCCAATAGTTCAGCAAACAGAATTCAAAAGCATTCGAAAACTAAAAGAACTTCAGAATATATTAGGAAGGCTTGCACTCACTTCCAGCCGCATCAGTGCAGGAAAAAGATAAAACATATAAAAACAATAGTAAATACTTTTCCTCCTGACTGCAAGCAAGAGTCGGAAGCCTTTGATGCCTTCACTGTGGCGGTGATGACATCCTGTCAAACACATGGTGAAGGATTGAGCCGCTGCATTGCCTGTCTCAGCTACCTGCTGTTTCGATCATGACAGCAAGATTCTGCATCGGCTGAAAAGATGTTGGTCCTGACCACCCATTCTCAAGCTTTCGTAGGTGTCGTCCTCTTGGAGCTCTCGATTACGAAGCTTAAAGCTCACAAGGGAACTGTCAACCTGAAGACGTTCAAACCACCGCAAAATGATAATTACCAGACCTTCGACAAACACATATAAAACAACAATATTATTGCAATATGAATTCAATATGAATGCATCTGACTTTTCTGCATACATGCATGTGGCTCCGTGTTGCAGTCAGACAATAAACTACAAAAGCCAGCCTGAATTCGACGGCAATAGATGTCAAAGAGAAGATCCAGGTGTGCATGGGAGGCATATTTGATATGTACATCGGGCCTTGAAGCGGATGCAAAGCAATGCAAAGTGGATGCAAAGGCTTACGCTTGATTGAGCCAACAAAATAAACTTGTTAGGTCCCGAGCCATTTAGGGATAGTAGCATTTGAGGGGCCCATTTGGGCACCTCCAACCCTATGCCATTATGCTATCTCTATTTACTTGGTCTTCAACATGTCAGAGTGGCTTTCGGCTCACACTTCCTGCATCCTGGTGGCGCTTGGTCACGCTGCACGCAAATTAAGACGCTGGGCCCAGCCCAGCTTGGACAAGGCGGATCACAAATTCGTGCAAGGATCTTCTCTGCCAGGGTATCGCAGTCCAATATGTTCCTAGGCTGGTGCTCTTGGAGAACCTCAATAAAAAGAACTGAAAACGCAATGGCATGGAAATATAGCAATGGTGAGCAAAGACATTCGGAGAAGATGACAGCTTGTTAAGGAGAACAATTCCACCAAAACACGCTGCAAACAAAACAAAGTGTGACAGAGTACAACAGGCACCTGTGTATGAATGTCTTTAGGTATAGTATACATGGTTATCCCATTCACAGAACAAAAGGGGAACTATGCGCCTGTTCTGTCTGTGGTCAAATGTGTATTTTCGTAATCATTGTACTCCTCAAACCAGGCAGCACCTACTACAGTGTTCTTTTTGGACTTGGCTGATAGTTTTGCAAGATGCTTGTCTTTCCAGCAAGTCTACCGAGATAAAGCAATTGTCTAGGCATCTGTCCATCCGTCGTTCAAGATTTTCTGCCTAAGACACTTGGAATCCAGCTTCAGCTCACTGAGCACAAGCTCCGCATCGGAGATCTCCAAAAGCCTTGCCTCCAAGGATGCGTAAGGCACTTTGGAGAAAAAGACATGAAATTGGCAATTTGAGATTTCTGTGCATCTCTGTAGTGCCATGGAAAGTTGTGATGCTGTGCTTGGCAACCCTCTTAAACTATGTTTGTGCCCTTGCCCAAAGCAGCCGAACCTTCGCAATCTTCGACCGATTTTTGGCCAAAGTGCCTTAATTGAATGCTTCTGATTCGAATCTAGGCAAGCTTTCTGGCCCAGAATTGCCCAGAATTTGTGTTCACAAATTACAAGCACCAAAGTTAAACACTGCAGAAGAAGCGAACGCTTCTGCTGCTCTCAAACCCTTCTCCAACAGGCGAAACATACCTGTAAAGCTCTCCACTGCCTACTGCGGCAAATGAAAAAGGGAGAGGAATGTTGTAATTTTCCATGTGGCCCAGGGAATGTGTTGAAATGTTGGCAAACTTCGTCACTCAAATAAACCTGCCAAGCAGCGCAAGGCACTCCTGAGGTGTGGTCAGTGGACGAAGAAACAAAATTCAAGTGCAAACCCCAACGCAAGTCCTAAACTTGTGAAAAAATTATCCGTGTTTTTGGTGGCTTAGGTTCAAATTCATTACACCATATTTGTGGCAAAGGTGGCTGCCTAGAGTGCTTTCAAACTCTGACGATCTGGTCCAGCGGCTGTAGGCGTTTCACAGTTGTGTTCTCTCCTCAGCTTTGTTGTCGATAAGTAAACAATAGGAAGCAGCAAAACATGTTGAATGCACTTCAGGTTGTTCAGTTGCCATCACAAAAACACATCCTTCTGACCGTCCTCACGCATCTAAAAAACTCAATCCAAAGACTATCCAAAGGTCTGGATTTGTTCTTCTCCAGCACATCCAAAAGTTGCTTGAAGGCCCACTTCTCCTCCAACATGGTACCACGCTTTGCGCGTTGCCTAGCGGGGGAGAGTAAGACTGGTGGCTGGTCTCATGCTCCGTTTTTGTGCTAAAATACTAAAATACAATTGCTTCACAAATCAACATATCCACTTTGGGGTTGGCATTCCGTGCCCACAGTGTGTTCTTCGGTGTGCTCCAATCTTGCCTGATATGCTCGGCGAGCATTTCGCTGAGCTCCTTGTCCGGTAGGCACCAACCTGCGCATCGTAGCCACCTAGCAGAATGATCGTACAAAACACACCAAGAAAAACTTTGACAAAAAGGCTAACAGGCAAACATCTCGAACCTCTTGGCTTGTTGGTGATCCAAAGCACCACGCTTGTGTTCATCCAAGAGGTCAAAAGCCACCTGCCAGGCACGTCTTCAGACCCAAGATTTAGAACGGTACTTTGTTTCCAAATTTGGTCTTGATCTATCCACCCGCCCAAGCCGACTTTGCTACAACGTACCTGCAACTCGGACGTTGAGGTGAGATGCGTACGCTCGCCACCCTGCAATGGACATCTTTTCTGGTGTAATGAAGAGAGGCATCCATAAAAGATATGGGTGAAACCAAGCCTTGCAAATCCTCACAGGAATCAGTGGAAAAGAACAAACTGCTGAAAGTCAACCATCAGAATCCAAAATAAAGGAATCTTCTTCAGGTGGTGGAAGGAAGCGCACGCGGCTCTTCATGTGCCTGAACGGCAGGACCGAGATCTTGTCGCAAACGGCGACCTGAAGCACCAGCAACGAAGGCGTTCTCTCACGGAGACGAATTTGAGAACACAACACTCTAGAGCGAGGAGCCTCTAGTAGCGTCCTTGCTCCTAGTAGTACGGCCAGGAGCCCCTAGTAGCTTCTTGTTCCTAGTAGCGATGCCAGGAGCCCCTAGTAGCGTCCTAGCTTGTGTCCTGAAGAATCCACTCTGAAACCCCCCCTGCCATTAAACGCATGCACGAGACTAGGATAGGTTGTGGGAATTTGAGGGATGTATGTAGAGAGAGAGAGAGAGAGATCCCCTAACGAATAGAAACGTGGTTCAAAAGACCTTGCTAGAGGGGGTCTACTTGTCCATCTACTTAAGATGCGCGCGAAGCCTTGGTCTACGGTCCTACGGTAGCGTAAGTTCTCGTGCACAAGATCAGACTTGAGACTGAAAATGTATTTGACAAGAAGCACACAAAAATGACAAGAGGGCAAGGCAAGGCTTGATAACGGCTGAAAGAAGCAATTGCCGAACGAAATCTCCGTAAACACCACAAGTTCCAAGTGGCTGGGGACCTTTGCAACCGCACTGATTGCGCTGGATGCCCTCTGTCCGCTCCGCAGAGGTGGTGCAAAAGCGGCAGGCTTGGGTGCCATTGCAGCAAGGGGTGGTGTTCTTCAAACTAAAGCAACAATAAGCAGCAAGTGCATTCAAGTAGTAGATGTTCTTTTCCAGTCAACTCTCAAATCAACAAATCTCTTGCAATCTGACTTGGACTGGGAAGCATCTGAATGTCTGCAGTGATAAGGCGTGTGATCTGATGAGTCAGTTTGGCTGCACTGCAATGTACTACTACCACGCTGCACAGCTCAGCTGGCTTCGGCTTCAGCTTGGGACAACCTCATGGGTCCAACATACATTGATTCATCTTCTCAGACGCAAAGGCCGCTAGTAGCGTCCTTGTTCCTAGTAGTAAGACCAGGAGCCCCTAGCAGCTTTTTGTTCCTAGTAGCGATGCCAGGAGCCCCTAGTATCGTCCTTGCTCCTAGTAGTCGAGAAAGAGTCTTGTTTGTCTGCACTTGACAAAATGTCTTGGTGTGATATGTACATTGCGCTGGCCACTTGTGCATGAAACACAAATGACTTGCTGCTACATACGACACCCTTTGAATCAATTAACCCCGCACCAGTGGCAAGGCAGATTCTCGCATCACTTTGGAAGGATTCAACTCCCTAGAGTCCTTGAGATCACTTGAGATCTGAAGCCCAATACTAATTCACGTACAAGTCCAAATTTGTTGAAATGAAAACATCATTTCATTGTGTAACGGTGAGTGCATGAAGCTTCAAAAAAGCCACATTCAAACTATGTGAAAATTGGCGAAGCTGTCAGATGGCTTCAGACACCAATTCATGCACATTCAACCTCTGCCGGTGAATTTGAAGTTCCACGTTCTAGAGTCTAGAGTCTAGAGATGTTAAATGTGCATGGCCCGGGAGCTACAAGGACCTGGCGGCACATTTTCGGGTGAGGAACCCTGCAAAGCACAGGAGCTCCTTTCAGCAACCTCAACAAGGCCACTTCTCATTAGCAAGACAGCTCGACCAACACGGCACTCCTGCAGCATGATGGCTTTGCCGTTTGTGCTTTTGTCGTTAATGAGAAGATGTTCGCCACCAACTGAAGGATGTGGCTCTGTTGTGTCGCAGGGCATGAGACAATCATGGGGCTTGAAAAAGAATCCAGCTAATGCGCTACGCCGCTACGCACATTGGCTGTGCGCAAGTCTACAAAAAACAATACGATCAACAAGGAACCCAAATCATCCTCTTGCAGTTTCACAATTGCCGTACCTCCCAATCTTGCTCTTGTGTCCTGGTTGGCCTTGCCCGTTCATCGACCTAGAAATCCACCAAGCCTGACCTTAGACAGTCCCACAGGTGTTCTTTAAAAAATGATGGTTCAATTGTTAGTGGACTCTAAGAATTTGTGTTGCACGACATAGATTCTTGTGCCAAATATGTCTCCAGCGATTGGTTGAGTGCCTGGTCTCCAAAAAGACCGTCTAAGATCCAAACAAGGCTTGGGCTTCTGAGTAGTTCTGGTCACCCTGGACAGCAGGTCTTGTGACAATGCGAACATACATGGATTAAAAATTCGCGGCGTCGTGCTGCCCTCAACTGCAAGACAAGGTAACCCTCGACCTGGTCACCGCAGCTCAGACCAACCATCGGAGTCTGAAAAGGAGTTTCTGCCGTGTTCTGTCACAACTCACCTGTCACCTTTTACCTCTGCAAGGGTCAGGTAATTACAATTTACTGTAATCTTCCTGTGGCACCAAAACCGTCAGCGTGTAAGGTGGGTTAGGGATCAGCAAAAGGGTCTAGAGTAAACATGCACTTCCCTTCCGGTGTTTTGAACCTGCATCCCTTTTGCGAGGCATTCCAAATCCTTGCCATTAAGAGTATCTGGTGGATTGGAGCAGAAACCATGTTCATCGATTTCCACAAGAACCGGACAAGCATGGGACCATCGGGATCCACTTGTTCTACACGTCTGGCGAATGGACAGGTACTAAAAGTCACCACGATGCATGATCCGTACGCAACACAAGCGTACATTGTTTCTGGTGGCCTTCTTGTCCTGTCACTGTCTGGTCTTCTTGTCTTTCTTGTCCTTCTTTCTCTTCTTGTGGTGCTTTTCTTGTGCGCCAAGGTCCTGCAAGACATGCAGAAGAGTTTCGTCTCTTTGGATTGGCAGCTCTTGAGGCTTGATTCCCAAAAAAGTGTGAGCTTGACTGGCAAGCACTTATATAGAGCTTGCATCCAAGTGACGTATGGGTTGACATCAGGATCATCGAATGGATCCGTACTTTCTTTCTTTTTCTTTTCCCTGGTGCAGTCTGGTCTCCACTGGGGTGAGTGCAAGGGTGTGGCATTGTGTCACATGGCTATGATCAGCGACCATGACACTCCCTTTGCAGCGCCTCGATATGTCCAATTCAGACATGATGAGACAACTAACTACGGTCATAAAACTTGTGACATGGATTGATGCTTTCATGATGTCGAGAATCCGCAGATTCATACAGCAAATCAAGGCCAGGTTTTACGCATCTTTACAAAAGTAATGGAAAAAGAGTGTGTTTCTCCAAACAAGTAGCAATAATTACCCACAAAAGATCACAAAAGACTATGCTCCCGGCTTCTTCTCCTGGGACCAGGGCAAGCATGTCCAGATTGCTACATTAAACTGTAATTGTTTTCAAGGACAAAGCTCTGCGTCAATTTGCAACACAAAGGTCCTTCTTCTCCCGTTTCTTCTCCTTCTTCAAGCGCTTGAAGTACTCCATGTCTGGCACAGGGCAAACATGGCAAAACAAAACTTTGGTTCTTCTACTCCAAACATAGTGTTTTAGGCTCGGATGGAGTGAACATTTTGAGGTCCCATGTGCTGGACCGGGGGTGATACCAACCTCTTTTGCGACGGGTGTGTGTTTGGTTGGTCAGCAACCTTTGTAAGAATGATTTGCAACAGGTGTACTGTATCTGTATATATATATATATTCGAATCTGTCCACACCGAAGGTGCTGAGGGGCGTTGTTGTGTTGGGGCGCGCTCGCATATCCGGCATCATGAAGTGTGTCCGGAGGGGAAGTGGTGGTGGGAGAAAACATGCAAAGATACACAGGGAAAACAAATGATTTTGCAACATTTGATTTGGAAGTGCTTTGCCGTATGATCTGGGAGTGCAAAGTATAGAACATGAAGTGGTACACGTTCAGTGAGAAATTACCCAAACTGTTGAAGGAGGCCTTTCAGGAATCTGGTGATGCAAATGATGCAAAAATGACATACGGTAAGACACAAATTATATATATATACAAAACAATAGACTATGGGATGAACACAAATAAGGAAATAACAAAATGGACAGTCATTGTTGGATATAAGTTGGACCCGCTTAAAAACGTACGATTTCAAGGGGTCGAAAAATAAATCGAGTAGGATATATATAGCACACTAGAATATACCACAGTGAGATACAATGCATTGGATGCAGAAAAAAGAGAAACATTATAATAACCAGAAGTAAGTTGCAGGTATATATTGTTGAATATGATAGGACGCCCTGAAACATGCACAAATTCCAGGGAGTCCAAAAATAATAAGACTTGGATGACACAGTATGTACACAATACAGTGCGATGCAATCTGATAGAGTAGAGTCCACGTCAATCAAATGCGATACAGTACAATAGTATATACCGCAATGCGATAAAACGCACTGCAATACAATGAAGTGGATGAAAATAACAAATGACAAATTGATTGCATGTTTGAATATAACTTAATTCGGCTGCATCAGTTACACTTGACTTGATGTGTGACAAGGCGGACACAGCTCGCTTCTTTTTCACGTGAGCTTCAAATGTCTGGGTTCAAAAGCGCTTTGGTTAACGTGACCCTGTCACAGCAGCCCACGCTGCGCGCACCCCTGGTGCATACCTCTGCCAGGTATTCGTTCCCTTACCTGTACCTGGTAGGCTCCTTAAAATAGTCAAGAGGATACTGAACATCAGTCCTATGACTATGTTGGAGTAGGGCTCAAAAAGTAAATGGTGCAGTAATCAAAGAGTGGACACTCTTACACTGCAAATACAGTGACTTCCAATTGCTCCGCAATGTCACTGGAAAACGGTATCTGGACTCATGACTGAAGTATTTTGCCTGGCCGACTGCTGCAAATGTGGTGGCTATGTTGCAGACTGCAGCCACAAAAGACTCAAAGCAGTGACGAAAACATCATGGACACCATGGTATCCCGCAGACAGCACCAGTCCATGCGCTCATTGCCAGAGCATTTGGCCATGCCGACAGCTGCAACTCATCTGGCTCACAGCAGACTGCGCCAGGGTGACCAGTGGTCACATCAAATGACAGACAGGCAGCGCAACCGTGGCACTCAGCTGGCAGCGACCACGCGGTGCCCCGAGACTCCAAAATGACAACTGAATATATGCTCAACATGGATCATCGGTATCAACTGGAGACCATAGCATCAAATCAAATCAAATTGTAGACTCCTGCAGACTGCTGCTACAAGTAGGCCATTCCGTGGATGACATCGCACAGGCCAGGGAAATCACATGGACGCACCGCAACCATGGGAACACAGGCCGACAGCTGCCACAAGTACCTGTAACCACTCGTACCGAGCACAGGGTGTGGTGGGTGGGACAAAAAAAGAATCTTGCGAATCAGCGACCCTGATTCACACGAGCGACACTCCTTTTGGCTTGAGCCTCAAGCTGAAAGGAGTGAGTGAACTGAATGACATCAAATAATTCCTCATCACCGACCCTGCCTACCTTGAATGAATGAATATATTCGGCTGCATCAGTTACACTTGACTTGATGTGTGACAAGGCGGACACAGCTCGCTTCTTTTTCACGTGAGCTTCAAATGTCTGGGTTCAAAAGTGCTTTGGTTAACGTGACCCTGTCACAGCAGCCCACGCTGCGCGCACCCCTGGTGCATACCTCTGCCAGGTATTCGTTCCCAATGCATTCAACATTCCCAAAGCACTCAGAAGAACTGGAACACGTGATTGATAATGACATATGGTAGGCGGAGTAGGAGGTGGGGTACTGGGACACGGTGTACCCGAAATCCATGAGCCTGATACCATTGATCATAAATCCCTTGCCTGCTAATACCATCGGACCAGTTGTCCTTGGACTGGACCCACTCGAAATAGCACCCACTGCGCAGTGAATAGAGGAGGGCATGGATACATCCTGCCATAGCATCCAACTCCGGGTTATCACTCCTGCCCTTGATCAGGGCCATCAATGCCGCAATGTTGTCCACAAACCAAAGCCCCTGACAGGAGCGGGCCTGACTGGCAACGAAGATGAAGCCAACGTAAACTGTGAGAAGCTCCAGTTGGGCGATTTTGGTAGGGTGCTCGGACCAGAGGTTGAAGAGCTCCGCCGCATCGGAGACCTCATTGAGCGGCCCCGCTGGCGGCGGAGGGCGTGCCTTGGCAGCCGGTGGCTGCGGCTTCTTCTTGACAGCCACCGCCGGAGTCCCCGGCACCCTGACAGGGGATGGTGGCTCCACCGTGGCCTGACTGGCCGGTACAGGCAGTACCACAGGGGCAGGAGTCACCTGCTCGGGCGCCGCCTGCGCCGCCTTCTTCTGAGGGAGGCGTCGCCTCTGCAAAGGAGGCTCATCCGGCCTGGACGCCAAGCGTGGAGACACCGAAGGCTTCGGCTGCGGTTGTGAGGACGAAGATCCCGTCGAAGCTGTAGCTGCCCGCTTGCGCAAAGCACGAATAATCTTCTGTCCAGCTGTACGGATTACCGCCAGGGACGCCGGCAACCACGACTTCACCATAGGCATGCCAGGGATGTCTTCAGACGAGGCACGAATGACCCTGCGGTTCTCTGACAGCAATTCGTCCGCGGCGATCATAGCTTCGGACCAGCGCTCCACAGCGGATGTGGTCTTGATTTCTTCCCAAAGAAGCTCGGAGGCGCTGGCCAGGAACAAGGCAGCAGCAAGCCGGAGTTGATGGCCTTGCTTCTGTTCCCGAGCATCGTAACGCAATGGAGTCTGCGCTGTAGAGCCACCACTCGCAGCGTCCGTCCATTGTCCAATGGCAAGGCGCTCGGTGTCAGTGAGCCGCACGATCCCCGCTAAGGTGGGCACCACCCGCCTGAAGCTGTACGAGCTGAGGTTCTGCGCATCCAAAACGCCATCGAAATAGGGTCGAACCACTCGAAGGAACTGCCCAATTGACACGGGGACACCTGTGTCAGAGTCGAAGGCCAAAAAGTGCCAACGACGATACCCTTCGCCATGACGTGGGCGGACCTTGTCCAACTGACGAGTCCAAATGGCATGAAGATCGAGGCTGCCCAAATGCCGAGGGATCGACCAGGTGAATCCATCCCGGGATCCGGTCTTGCCTTTGAAGCACCAGAAGATGATGATGGCGGAGTTGGCGCCGATAAGGTAGCTCCGCTGCACGTGGCAAAACCGAATAAGCCCAAACACCATGGCCGCCGCGGCCATCAGGATAGGCCAGTGAGCATGCTCGGCCGTGTACTCCAGGACCCCCAACAGGTGGGTCACCATGCCCGGCTCAAGCGGGGCGGCCTGGGACTGCCCCTGTCCCAGCCGGGTGCTCCGGACCGGAGCCGGTTTGGAAGCTTCCCGCAAATCCAGTGGTACACGAAGGTTTCGGATCATCCAGCCCAGGGATGTGAAAACACGTGTCGGCCCATGGCGCTCCCGGATAAAGGTGGCCAATGCATGGGGGTCGGGAAACTTCAGCCCCAAATGATCCATATAGCGCGCCAAGTCCTTCCAGGTGTGGACCACGCGCTTGATGGTAGCCGCCTCGGTGCGGGCACACAGCTTCTCCAAGCGAGAGGCCCAATTGGCCATGTATTCATCTCGTCGTGCAGGTGGTGGAGGCATCAATGTCACCATGATACCCAGCAGGTCACGAATAAACAAGGCAGCGACTCCACCCGTAGCATCAGTCGACTGGGCTGGCCGCTTCTTAGGCCTGACAGGCCCAGCAAATGAAGACGGCTTCGGACGGGCCACCGAAGATGAAGGCAATGAAGAAGCCGGAGCACTGGATGGTTGTGGCGGGCGAGACTGGCGAACTGTCTCCCTCGCAAAAAGGTGCCGAGCCAGAGCTGCCATCCCCGGTTCGCTCTCACGGCGGGCGAGATCCCACCCATCTGCCACTGCGCGACCAGCTTCACGAAGTGCTTCCTCGTAGGAGGTAAACCAAAAAGCCAAGTCGCTGGAACTCTGAATCCCCATCCTGGTACACCAGGTATTCAGCTTCTCCTGCTCAACCGCGCGTCGAGCATCTGCGTCAGCCATGGCTCGCACACAAAAAAAGAATCTTGCGAATCAGCGACCCTGATTCACACGAGCGGCTTGAGCCTCAAGCTGAAAGGAGTGAGTGAACTGAATGACATCAAATAATTCCTCATCACCGACCCTGCCTACCTTGAATGAATGAATAGGACCCAAAAAAACATGTACAATTCCAATGAGTTCAAAATCATGATGTGTGTGTGTGTGAAATTGTATCACGGCATGTATACACACTTCTTTCGGCTCTTGCTAGACACATGCCCTTACCACATAATTCTCCGATTTCTGACACCTCTACCTGAAATTGTCTCGCACCAAAAGGATCGATAGACCATGCTCACACTGTCTCTCACAACAACTTTTGCTGGCGGTTATCGTCGCGAAGCGATAGATTTACTCCATGAAAGCCCTTTGCTCCTAGTAGCGTCCTTGCTCCTAGTAGTAAGGCCAGGAGCCCCTAGTAGCGTCCTTGCTCCTAGTAGCGATGCCAGGAGCCCCTAGTAGCGTCCTCTCCCACAAAGTGTCACTTCCACCTTCATACTCTTTGCCGAAGATCGTCACAGCCAAGTTCTCCTCTTCAGGCTCAGGTTCTGAAGCCAAGTCCTCGCCAAGTGACGCACAACACATCGCGACAAGGGATGTTGATTGGCATCAGGCGTGCATGAGGTTTAGCAAAGACCAGACACAAGGAGTGAGTAGCTCTTACTCTGTCTCCATTGCTCACACTCCGTCTCTCTGTCACTCTCTCACACACTCACTCGCTCGCTCGCTCGCTCTCTCTCTCTCTCTCTCTCTTTCTCTCTGTCTCTAGAGACGTTCAGTCAATCTTGCAAGTGTTCTTTGCTCAATGTACACTGCATGATGGTGTGCCCCTCCGTTGAGGCGTGGCTCTCGGAGCTGTCAGAAAGCCTGCAGTGATGTAAGTGCGACGTCGGATTGCAACAAAAAGGAATCCTTTCCAATACTTTCCAATGTCAGATTTGATTCCAGTAAAACAAGTGACAGCCAGGCCAGATCCAAAATAACCAACCCATTCCAATTTGAGTTGTATAACTGCATAAGATGAATTGCCCCGATGCTGCCACTATATGTCGACCAGGAATACATATTGAACCACATTCTTGCAGACGGCAGTTGAACACATCACATCAGTTCACATTGACGGATGAATTTAATCTTCTGGGTGAATTTCCACTTTCAGTCGTGCCCCCTTTCATTTCCAGTTTCACAGTGCCGAGTCGCCCCTGTTCGTTGAAATTGGCTGTCAAATCCATCAACTTGAAGGCTGTCTGAAAGCCTGGGTGCACCTTGGCAGAATTGCGGCCCTCGCGAAGGCGTAGAGATTGTCTTGCGTTCTTACTTGAAAAAGCGTTCTTTTGGAACGTGCTGTGATGAGCCAGAGCCATTCATAACCCTTAATTGCGAAAAGGAAAGGGCGACAAAGCTGTAGACTAATACTAATACTAAGACTGTGCACTCGAGGCTGGTAGGAGGCCACGATCCGCCGATGCAAGCGTGCCTGAAAACACTTAAGAGTTGAGAATGAGAAACTGGGGCCAGAAAAGAGAGCTCCTCAGAAGAACAATCTGGTAGTGGAATCATGTGAAACAAAAAGCTGCGCTAAGCAGGTGTGAAGCAATAGCAACTCAATAGTCTTGTACAGGATGGCTCATATTTTATAAACTGCTCAAGATGCAACCACGGCAAAAAAGTAACTGTACCTGCCCCTCCATGCACACAAGAAATGATTGATTAAACGACCTCGAGAGAACGAATGATTACTCCGCTCCGCAAATAATTCTGAACGTGCATCGAGGCTTGTTACGGTTGGACTCTTGACAATACGAGACCCTCACTTCGAATCTGTGCGCAGGTGCAGTTGTTGGCCCGCAATGCCTTGACCACATCGTCGTAGAGATAACCAGTCTGCACATGCACTTCAAAGGTCTTCTAGATCTAGTTTTATACAGTTGAGTAGCCCTTTTTTGTACCAAACATATTGGGGTGCCTAAGAATGTTGTCCTGCTCATTACCAGTTGCAGCGTTGTCCTTATTCTCAGGGGTGCTTGCACTTTCAAAGCCCCCAAAGGTAATGAAGGCAGGTGCAATGTCTCCAGCACCATTAGTCAAACATAGGAAGAACATTTACATGATGTTGAGATTATTGTGAAGAGTTTCTTTCTAGGGAATCGAACTCCAAATGACCAAGAATTGGGACCATTGAGAAGATTTCAGAAGCATTGTTGCTTCGAGGGGCCTTGGATCTGCAGCGTCTGCAAAGGACCATAAGGATGGACCTGTAGCAGCACTGTCGGCTTGTTGTGGAACAAAAAGCTGGATCTGGTACACTTGTAAAACTGACACTCTAGTGGCGTTTCGAGCATCCTGAGTCAGAAAAGACACCCTGCATTGCATTCTATCTGCAAGACGGCTCACTCAAGGCATTCATCAACTTCAAAGGGTACAAGAACTCTCTTCTCACTCCTTGACAATCCGCCTGTCACATCGGTTTACATCAGGTGTCCTACCTAACAATGGTGAGGTTGGGCAGTACCACCAAACATCCGACCTTGGTCGCACGTGGTATGGGTATGGACTTTCACGAACATCTCTGGACTCAACGTGCACTCGTCACTCGTCCCTGTGTTGATTTTTTCAGAAATACTGCTCATGTCCCAAGCTGACCAGTGCCAACAGATTTGCAGGCTACTACAGACGGCGCTCGAACTGAACAAGTGAGAAACCCTGCAACTAACTCCTTCATGGCCCAGAAGGCATTGCCTTTACGGAATATCTTCCACGCTAACGCAGCTCGTGGAAAATCTCATGGAATCTTGTGGTACTCATCAGCCACAGCTCCCTTGAAGCGTGTCAAACCTTCGAGCTTGTGCAGTGGATACAAAGCAAAGGCCCACGACCACATCGTCAAAGCAAACAAGATCCACGCCCAGTAGCAAGCAGGAGTCCCAAACTCAACACTTGGGGCGAACCTGTACATAGCCCAAATCAAGAGAGGCGATGCAACATAGAAAGACGTCATGTTATGGCTCAAAGCCAGGCTCCAAAACATCTTGGTGTACTTCGAAATCTTGCTCACAACATCTGGATCATCACTAATCGGGACACGAGTTGACCACCAAATGCGGTAGCCAGCATATGCAAGGCCGCACTCCAATAGGAATGAGATTGGGCCTATGTATGCTATTTGCCAGAAGTTGAATGAGATGCGGGTCACCGCCCGGTTTCCTGCCAAAAGATATGCATCATGGAAAAACATGTCCAAAACAGGATGACTAATTGCAGCGACAAAAATGGCTGTTGCATACCCAAGGCTGATCCTGTAGCGCAAACGCATGAAAAATACCACTAATATGGAGGCAATTGCCATGCCTTCTACGCTGTGAGAATATGTGATGTCCAAATAAAATGGGAAAAGGCCTGGGAATCCCTTGAAACCTTGGGCTGCACTCTCATCGACCTTGGGTAGCCATTGGCCCTTCGACTTCCAGTCAGACAAGAGCTGCTTGGTGGCAGGAGGCGGTGTGCTCAAGTACCAAGGGAAGGTTGTTGCGAACTCAATCTTCAACAATACAAGCAGCCCAGCAATCATATCGGAAAGCATTGCCATCTTGCAAAGCAGTGTCACCGAAGCATGAGGCACCAAGTAGCTCAAGGGAAACGCCCCAATCCAATGTCCAATAACCGCCATGGCACAACTTCAAAACGACCTTTGGTTTCTTGAGCCAGCAAGCACCTATAAGGTACACCAAGGTGCTGTGGAGTAAGTCGATTGGCTGATAAGGCTTCAATTGAAACTCCGCAAGCCCAACAATGTCCTTGGGCTCCAGCTGCTGACAAACCCGGCAGGAAGGCAAAGAACCAGGCACCCGGATCTTAGAGAACATTCCAGGCACAAGAACCCCAGACAAAAAGAATATTTGATGTTGTCAGCATAAACAGCTATCTGACAGGCTCCAAAACATGATGTGTTTCACTGTTCCATTGGATGCAAAAATGGTCCAACATGCTACAAGTCAGATGCAGTCAACGATCTGAGCCTCAGACTGCATGTTGGATTGACAAATAGCTCGAACATGCGAAAGTTTTCCCTCAGCACGCTGTGCTCGGCACGCTGTGCTCACAAGGCCCGCAAGCCAGAAGGAAGACACTTGGCCACGAGCTGGAAGTACTGTGCTCGCAGTGAATCCACATCAGTCTCATCGAAACTGCCTAAGTCTTTTTGTGGCTGGGTTTCAGTCGTTTGCTTGGCCATGCAACCCACTTTCTCCAAAAGGTTAAACACGATTTCATGACAAACAATTGATGAAAGAGGTCTTGTATATAACCCAATTACACCTGCAGTGTAGTGCAGTGCAGAGTAAAAAGAAGGGACAAGCCTACTTGCACCCTACATCTCTTTTCATACCTGCTGCATAACATGTTCATGGGTCATGAGGTTCCGCGCAGCCCTCCACATCAGATGCAAAGAGGGTCCTGTCTTGGCTGGAGCTCTCACAGCAGGTTTGTAGTGTATCCAAGTGGTGTTCAGAGACTGATTCACAGTGTCATCTGCGCAAGTATCAAGAATCAAGATTATCAAGAATGAAGATTGCATGAAATTTCACCCAAAGAACCACTACTGCTGGGGATCCCTGCGGATCCACCCAAACCAAAATGCTGGTAGCCTCAAGATCGTCGCAGTCTCCAAAAAGCCGCTACTGTACTCGTCTTGAGATCCGTAGCCCAGCCCTGTTTGTTGCTCTCTGGACTTCCTTGCCCTGCTTCCTTCCTAAGGTCACAGCAGAGCGGAACACCAAGGCCATGAGCAAATGGTTGACCTGGAACAGTGCTCAAACCAGATCATAAGAAGGTCAAAAGCATCTGCGGTCTGCCATGGACATCCCCAGCACACTTTAGATTTTGAGGCAGTCGATGGAACGCAGCAGGTACCAGAAACGGTCGAGTGCTTTGCCCACAGGGCGGGTGGACAAGAAAGGAGCGAAAAGACTTGTGTGGGAGTGAGCGTTTTACTGCTGCCATTTTACCAGCACTGCCTGTCTCACTCTCTGTGTATATGTGTGTGTGTATGTATATATATATATTTATTTATACATTAATCCCTTTCGGTGTATGTGCTAAAAAATCTCAGTGCGCAATACATAAATATTATTGGAGAAAAGTCAACTTCAGCTAGTCCGAATAACCAAGACTACCCATTCCCAGCTCAAAGCAGGCCAGCATGGCAGACACTCGGGCAATGATTTCATCGTACATAGCTGGGCGTCGAGAGTGTCGCAAGAAAATATACCAATCCACCAAGTAACCTTAGCCAAGGCATGGCACCAAAATTGTAGGGATCAGGACAACTCCTGGCATTCTGGCGTGTGAAGCAGGACACGGCAGCTAGCACATTCCTCAGCCAAAGAGACAGTGCATTTGAGAAGAATTTTTGATCCCTGAGCAATGACTTTAGACTCAGAGAGAACAGCAAAATCTAGTGAGTGCAGTTGCTTGCTCCTCTTCTTTTAATTTGCCTCTTGCAATTCTCTTGCTTCCCGTTTAGTCCACGCTAGCTTATGTATACTGTAATACTCTAGCCCTGATTGCCTTTTGAGAAGCAGCACGGAGAAATTCAAAGCCTCACCCACCACCCCTCAAGTCGAGTTGCAGCAAAGGGAGCGCTGGACCAAAAATCATTGCAATGCTTGCCGTCACAGTCACCTCTGCCTTCAGCTTTGAACTGGGAGCTGGGCCGCTGGGCATCAATTCCATATTGTGGGAAACAAACCCATTCCTAAAGCTCCTACTAGCGTCCTTGCTCCTAGTAGCGATGCCCTTTGCTCCTAGTAGCGTCCTTGTTCCTAGTAGTAAGGCCAGGAGCCCCTAGTAGCGAGCCCTTGCTCCTAGCCTTTTCAGGCCCCCCAGACTGCATGGGTCTTAGCTTCCCTGTTTTCCATGCCACTTTGGCCAGGCAACACAAACCCCCAATGGAGCCAAGCACACCCCGAAGATATCTGTTTGTTCCACCATATTAAGGTAAGTCGTCTGCATTTAGTGATGACTGCAGCGTCGCTCCTACAAGCACTCCTGAACAGGCCATAGATGTTGAGATGGGAATTAGGTTCTGGCGGTCTACCCAGCAACCTCGAGATGGAAAGACTCAATCTATAATAGGAGTGGCCTCCAACTAGCAATGGCCTCCAAGACTGAGAAACTTGAAACCTGAAACTTTTCAGTATTCTTATTTTCCCAAGGACATGCCTGTGAAACAGCAGAACTTCTCCAGCCAGTCATCCCCTGGGCATCCCAGCGAAGCCCTCTGCAATGCGGAACCTTGGCAAAAGTGTATGAGATGGGAAAGTGTTTGAGGTACACTGAATGAAACACCATAACAAGAAACAAACATCAAAAGGCTGTGTATCTGGTTCATTGTATCCGTAAAATAGCCAAGGCACCCAGGGTTCACATAGAGGTTCTTCAGGTCTTCCTGCGAAACACACCCGAGCAGCATGCTCTCTTCGTCTCTCTTTGTCTCTCTCTCTCTCTATCTCTATCTCTATCTCTATCTCTATCTCTATCTCTATCTATCTATCTATCTGTCTCTCTCTCATTCTCTTCTATAGGCTCTTTCAAACTTGGTATGCAAAGTTTTGTGTTAAAGACTCTGGTTGGATTGGCCGCTCCGACTTCGAACCTCAAACCATCCCCATGCCCAGAGCTTGTGGCCTGGGAGATCATCTTCCGAGCCTGTGAGAGACGAAGAGTAAGGGTTTCAAGCCGAGGTCCAGAGCTTTCAACATGGACTCTAGACTCTAGACATCTCTAGACATCTCTAGAATCTAGATTGTCTGAAGTCGCTCGTCGCTCTAGATTGTCTCAACATCCGGAGCTAGTGTTCAGACTCTAGATGGCTCTTCCGTTAATCTCTCTAGCTCCTCAGCTGCTCCATCTTCTCTACAACAAGCGGTGCCGTGTTGGTACGTTCACCAAAGTGAGAATTGCATATCGCCAAAGCAAATGATCCATGCTGTGCAAGATATTGTTTTCTTCAACAAAAGAAAGGTCTGAAGGTCTAAAGAGACAATGAAATAAAGAAAAGAAAGAAAGAAAGACAAACATTCAATCTTCATCCTTAAGGATCGGTCCTTGCGGTATCGATTGCATCTTCGGCAGCAAACCGCAATTAGGTCAGGCACCTTCGCCAGGATGTCTTCCGTGGCATGTCTTTCCAAGCAAGAAATATAGAATGTGCCCTTTTGACAGGAATAGATGTATAGTAGATTATAGTAGTATAGTGGTGCCAAAGGAACCGGCAATTTTCTTCCCGGCTCCCAAACGGTCAGGCATGTTCATGCTCAAAGCCCAACATTGACCTGGCTTCTCTGGTTTACGCGAACTTGAGGCCAAGGGGGGGGCGAAAGCTAGCGCTCCAGAATGGGAAAGTGGAGGGCAGCGAGGTAGGCAAAAACATGGCGCTCTTTTTGGAGGCAGTCAAGGAGACGTCGCGGTGGCATCGCAAAGATCCACCTGCAGAGCGGACTGTCGGAAGTCTGCGGGGAGGGTTGTCAGAGGCTGCAGAGCGAGTGCGGCCGCAAGATACGCAACGCTAACCGCATGCCAAAGAGCGACGACAGGACGGAGTCGAACTTGCGAAGAGGGAGGGAGGGAGGGAGGGAGGGAGGGAGGGAGGGAAGGTCGAGGAAGACAAGGAGGGGGAGAGGGGAGGCAGAAGGCAGGACGCCTTGCACAAGTTCGGCGGGGCAAACGATTCCAGGTGAAGAGTCCTATGTGGCTCTTTGCCCGGATCCTCCTGAGAGAGAAGAGAGAGAAGAGAGACGGAAAGACGAGAGACAGAAGAGAGTAGAGAGAGAGAGAGAGGAGAGAGAGATGAGAGAGAGATGAGAAAGAGATGAGGGAGAGATGAGAGAGATGAGAGAGAGATGAAAGAGAGATGAGAGAGATGAGAGAGATGAGAGAGATGAGAGAGATGAGAGAGAGAGAGAGAGACAGTGAGAGTGAGAGTGAGAGTGAGAGTGAGAGTGAGAGTGAGAGTGAGAGGGAGGGGGGGGGCTTCGACCTGAAAAATCAGGGGTTAGGATTTGCACCCGATCGAAAGAAACCTTGCTATCGCAAGAGTAACTCCAGCTAGCTTCGCTAGCTTTCGTGATTTTGTCATACAACAAAAGCAAAGAAGGTCTGAGTGCTTAGGTGTTCGCACGACACTTACACAGGCTCTGAGAAATCCTGAAAGTGCAAAGCCCCCCTCGAAATGAAATCACTTGCCATGCCTGTGGGATGAAGACACGACAAGCCATGCTCAACGTGATGACGCTGCCCACCCAGCCGTGCCACTCCCTGGCAAAAGGACACATAGGACACACAACTATTCCCTTGCGGTACCCACTACTCACAGGCAGTTGCATCGCTTTGACAGTCCCAAACTTAATTGAGTTTGCTTGTGCAAGTGTGTGGTGGGGGGAGCGGGCAACTTGCCACAACATCAACTGAAAGAATCCTACATGCCTTCTAACTGCTCTAGCTGACACCACTCCAACAAAGAGCCGTGCACCGCCTCATGGACATGCCACCTCGGCAAACGCATTGCCAACAAATCCAAATGACCCTTCTGAAGGGACGTGAGTGCTTGTTTGGTCAACTCTTTCATTCTAAATTCTATCAAATACCCGACCACTCGTTCCTTCACTTCCAGCTTCCCAACAAGTATGTCATTTTCAAGAAGCATGTCATTGGGCTCCCAGCCATGGGGCACAGTGCTGAGTTCCAGTTCCCGGTTCAGCCACCCCCAAGCCGCCTCGGTGGGGAACTGGACAGGTTGAAACGTTTGAGACCACCGGTCTCTGAACTGGTCGGCTATGCGCCCCTATCTGCCAGCTTAGCAGTCGTGCCGAGGCTTTGGCAGGTATGGTGCAACTCACAAGGGCAGGCATCACAGCTGCGTTCAAAAGCCTTGCCAAAGAAAGGAAATAGCACAGAATTTACGTTGATTCAATGCATTGTTCCAAGGGAAAATCTACAGGAAAGTGTAGGTTGAACCCCCAAAACTATGCGTGTCCTGTAAACTGTAAATGTTCCGTTAAACTGTGGGATTGGTGTGTTCTCTTCTAGACCAGAATCTATAGTCTATGGCAGTTTGTGCCCTCATTGTATATGCTGGTCCGCAAAGGATGACACGCACAAAACGAGAAGTGTACACTCGACAGCCGCTTTTATGCTCGAAAATAGGAGCGTTGAACCTTGCAGGTTATGAGCCCAAGGTGACAGGTGTAAGACCCGTGGGCAAGGACGGGCAGCCCTGCGCGCTTGCAAGCAATGTCCATGGTGGCTCGTCGGGGACGAAGGCAGCCTGGCGATGGGGATGAAGAAGAGGACCCAGCCGATCAGGGAGGCCTTCAATTACAAGATCGGCAGCTGGAAGATGATCAGCTCGCCTTAGAAGATGGTGTGGAAGAGGGGGAGGGGACCCTGGAGGGTCCGAAAGGGCCACCAACGACTCTGACGCCGATGACCCCGCTCTTCACGCCTGAACAGCTGAAGGGACTTCATGAGGTACAGAGCCAAGCTCCTCACCTATACGCCCAAGTCCCGAGGCAGAGCATCTGGCAGCCTGGTATGGGGAACAGGTCGCCAGAGGAGGTGCAAAAGGAGAGACCCACGTTCCTGCCGAAAGAAGAAGGTTCAGTGGGAGTGCTTCCACAGACGAGCACGACGACGGGGACACCATCACCGGCACTGGTGGGCGACCATGTACCAGATGACCAGCGACGTGGACGACCAAGAGAACCACGGGCACCTGAAGTACAAGAGCCTGAAAGTGACAGCGATGGGCGACAACCTCCCCAACCTAGAGAGCAATCGGTGGTTCAGATCCAAGGGAACGGGCCTGGAGGGAGAGGTCTGCATGTTCCGAGAGGCTTTGGACAAACTGGCCCACCTGGGTACATCATGCCCCATGAAGAGAGGAGGGGACCTATGCCGCATCAAGGAGGATGGCAAGTTCAGCTGCATCCCTATGGCCCTGGTCCGCCAAATCCACAGGAGATGATGACCATGTTGGCAATGCTGAAGCAGGAGAATCAACAACTGCAGATTCAGCAAGCAGAGCTCATGGACGCCATGAAGTACCAGAGGGCTAGCCTGGAAGCCAAGGTCCATGATCTACAACGTGAGCTGGAGCAGCAGGCTTTCAGAACGCCAGAAAGCGATGAGCCTGTGAATCGTCAGCTGGAATTGACGGTCGACGAGCCTCCGAGAGAGACAGATTTGGAGGTGGAAAGACGCCGGCTGTATGAGTTGACTCCCATGCAACAGTTCGAGCAGCTCCAATCCTTGATGGGGACGGTCACTCCGGCGCCAGCAAAGCGAGGTGGTCGGGGGCAAGGGCAACGAGAGAGGTCGAGATCTCAAGGTCCGAGAACTGCACGTCAGGGAGGAGGTCAACCTGAGGGCTTGGTGGCATCTCGGGCGAAGGGCTTCGAACCGGAAGGGAGACAAGGGACCGGGAAAGGCGTGGGTCAGCCAAAGAAGAAAGCCGCAGCCGAGCAGCCTGGTCGATCTTCAACGGCAAATGTTCGGGAGGAACCATCAAGAGAGCACGGTGGTGGCATGGCTGATGCGATGTCCATGCTGATCACCTACCTGGTCGACAAGGACAAGAAGCAAGAAGGACCGGAGTCGGTCAAGCCGGGGACGGCCACACTCCCAGTCCTGGCAGAGCCATCCGATACGGCTCCCATCGACCTCGCTGACTGGCTCACTATGGTGGAACCGGCTATGACAGACCTTAGCGACTCGTCAGGCGAGTGGTGGGAGTTGGTGGTGAGCGAAGCAAGGGCTTGGTACAAACAGTACATCAAGCTTCGTCCAATTCAGCGGGCATCATCCAAGATCGAGCCGTCTGCTGAGTTGCAAAAGCCGAAGTGGGCTCGAGTGGAAAAGAGGGCCATCAGCATGCTGCTTTCTTCGGTTCCCACATCAGTGAAGGAGGAACTGGTAGCAACGAGGACTTTGTCACCGCTGGGGCTGGTGAGCAAACTCATGGTCCTCTATCAACCAGGTGGTGCTCATGAGCGCACCATCATCCTGCGGCAACTTGAAGATCCGCCAGAAGCAGGGTCGCCAAGCGAAGCCTGCATGGGGCTCCGACGCTGGATGCGCTGGCTCAGGAGGGCCACCGACATTGGCCTGAATCTCCCTGATGCGATCATCCTCATGAAGGGCATCAACAAACTCAGCAAGCGGATCCTCACTCAACAACCGGATCTGCAATTCAGATGTGCCTTGGTCAAAAACACCTTGCAGCTTGATACCATCCCCAATGAGGAGACTGTTCGGACGTATGCTGAGCATTTACTCGCTGAACTTGAACAACTCATGCACCGAGTCCGACCGTCTTCGAGCACTACGAGACCTGGAAATCAGGGAGGTGGACCATTGGCAGTAAAGGCACTACAAGGGGAAGATCGAGAGAAGAAGGGGGACTCGCCAACGACATCGGCGAAGGGTCCTTGTCGATATTTCCTCACCGAGTCTGGATGTCGAAGAGGGCAGTCGTGCAAATGGGCGCATCAACTGGAGACTGGCGACAAGCAGAACCAGGAGAGAAGGTGCTTTACGTGCGGGGCCACACAACACCTGGCTCGAGACTGTCCGAGGAAAGAGACGGCAAAGAAGGGAGAAGGACCTCCATCTGGCCAGAAACCGAAGCTTCAGAAGCTGCTGGACAAAACTGGTGGTGGTGGAAATGGGACCTCGCGGAGCGAGTCGGGGGCTTCAATTTCTCCTCAAGCAGCGTCCTCGCAGTCGGTGACTTCGGAGGCGGCATCGGATGCAGCGACAAGAACTGCAGACCCAATCAAGAATGTGCTTGATGAGGCGCACAAGTTGCTCAAGGGCATGAACCTCGAAGAAGAAGGGCAAGATCGTGCAACGGACCTTGGTGCGACATTGAAGAAGCTGAATCGAGCATGGGAGAAAGGTGGCCCAGAGCTACGGGCAGTCAAGATAGCTCGAGTCCAACAAGGTCGAGAGGGACTTCTGGATTCTGGGGCAACGCACGCTCTGAGGCCCAAGCTCCGAGGAGAAGACCTTCAGAGATATCGCCAGGTGAGGGTGACGTTGGCTGCCGGAGGAGCACAAGACATCCGAATGACAGAAGGGGAGACGCTGGTCCACAACAATGAGAACGTGGAGCCGATCGTCCCGGCCGGAAGGCTTGTCCGCGACTTGGGGTGTCGAATCGAGTGGATGGGGGAAGCTTGCACTTTGGAGCACCCAGTCAAGGGCAACATTGACCTCAGAGTTGAGGCGGGATGTCCTCAAATGGACCATGATGTTGCGTTGGACCTCATCAGGGAGCTGGAGGAATCTCGGTCGAGAACGGCGTTGAGGTGCTACCGATTTGGGGAGGCTCACAATGACGTCGACTGGCTGGACCGGGTGGTGGCAGATTGTCCGATCTTCGACAAGGTCCCGATCCGAATCAAGGATCGCCTGGTGGACTCTCCAGCAAGGAATCTTGAGGTCCTTGGAGTCAATCGACGCATCCGCAAGCGCTGGAAAAATGAGGGTGTGGTGGTTCATCTCTACGCTGGGAAGAATGAGGGCTACGATCTCACAAGGGCTCTCAAGGAGGCTGGCGGAGACACCACGAGATTGTTGGAGGTGGATATCCTTCGAAACCAAAGTCATGACATGCCAAAGGACGATGCAATGTACGCAGCACTGCTAAGGATTGCGATGTTGGGCTGGATTGACGCGGTGATCGGTGGACCCAACTGCAGGACCCGCAGTGAACTACGACATCATCCGGTCACGGGGCTACCAGGGCCGTCGAGATCGTTGGGAAGACCCTGGGGCTTGGACGAGTTGGATGAAGTGGAGAGGGCAAAGTGCCATTTGGACGATGTGCTGCTGTTGCGTATGGTGACGCTCTATGTGGTGGCAAAGCTGGGTCGAGATGCACGATTGTCCCAGGAGAAGAATCCCGCGTTGCTGCCAACGGTCAGGTTCTTGATGGAGCAGCCTGCAGCGCCTCAGCACATGCCGGAAGTGGCATCCTTCTGGAGAACCGAAGAGTGGAAGGTAATGAAAGAGTATCTCAACCTGGACATGGTGACCTTCAACCAGGGTGCCTATGGTGGTATGGCGGTGAAACCTACCTCACTGGCATTGAACATGGAGTTCATGGTTCCCGAGGATCGGGGCCCGCCCAAGGCCTTCTTGAAGACCAAGCATGAGGTGTCGAGCTCCGAGCTGGCGAGATGGGCCCCCGGAATGATGCGAGAGATTGCAAGAAGCATCACTGTCAACATCCAGAAGAGGCGGGTGACGATGAAGGCCTTGTCTTGGCAGGAGCACCTGGCACAGGGACACGTGCCGTTCCGCAGAGACTGCGCTGTCTGTCAGAGAGCAGCGGCAAGGGATCGACCACATCGAGCTCAAGGGATAGCGGCTCCGTGTGTGCTGTCGCTGGATCTGACTGGACCATTTGCGCTCGGCCATGACATTGACGGCGACCTCAAGAAGTACCTCCTGGTTGGAGCATACACGTGGCCGGTCATGGAGGAGGCACCATGGGACGAGGTTGAACAGCTGGAGGTGATCCCAGACAAGGACTGGCCTACACTCGAGGAAGAGGAGGCTCTTCGGGAGGTGGAGTATGACCTGGCTCAGGATCTGGAAGCTCATGGTGAGGAGATGTCCTATCGACCTACGTCAGATGAGGGCGAAGATCTGGAGATGGGTGAGCCGGAGGAGGATGAACGGCAGGGCGAAGGAGACGGTGATCAGTTAGAGCCGCCGCCTGATCCAGGACCCAGTCAACCAGAACCACCATCGGTACCACCTCCAAAGACTCCAGAGGAAGTTGAAGAGCACCAGAAGGTCTACAAGATGACCACAATGTCCATTTGCCTACCACTGACCTCGAAAAGCGCAGCAGAAGTCCTTGCAGGAACACAGGAACTATTTGGAATGCTGAGACGCCACGGCTACCCTGTGGCTAGAATCCATACCGATGCAGGCCGGGAGTTCGACAACAACCCGTTCAAGAGGTGGTGCTTGGAGAGGGGGCTGGCTAGAACCTTCAGTCCTCCGGATGAACACCAATCAAACGGTCGTGCTGAGGCCATGATTGCGTCGATCAAGCAAAGGGTCCGTCGACTTCTACATGCTTCGGGCATGCCCACGAAGTGGTGGCCGGCAGCGGCGAGACATGTCACGGAGCTGGAAAGAAGGAGAAGGGAGAACATCAAGGAGACGCTTCCACGCTTTGGGCAGCTCATCACGGTGAGAAAGCGAGCTTGGGAGCGAGGAGGACCTTTTGAAGCGACATCCGAGATGGTGACCTACCTGACACCTACACCGCAAGTGTCCAAAGGGCACGCGGTCCTCACGGACAAGGAGAAGGTCAAGGTAGTGAGCTACTTGATAAAGGATGTCAAAGAGCCTAAGCCCGACGAACGAGACTTGGTCATGGAGGAGGTCCATATCCAAGACGACCCTGTACGGCTTCGCTGGAGGTTGAGAGAGAAGACACCACTGGCATGCATACGGGGAGAAGAAGACCTACAGAGGGAGGAGGATCGTCGAATGCTCTTTCAGGCCGTCTATGAGGAGGAGGGTCACTTGTTGGGAGCTGCTCCAAGAGAAGTTCCTCCGTTGAGCCGAGGTCTGGTTGCTCTACGACAAGAACAGGTGGCATCAACCCAACGACTCTTGGAAGACGAGATTCTCCAAACCCGGATCGTGCCCAACGATGAGGTGTACAAAGACCGGGAGCTGTGGCTGGAGGCCATTATGAAGGAGATCCAGTCCTTGGAGGGCAAGAAGGCGATTCGGCGACTGACTCCCGCAGAAGTGGCCTACTACCAGAGAGAGCATGGAGACAAGGTGGAGGTGGTTCCAGGGAAGGCCATCCATGCGGTGAAGGCCCCTGACGGACGAAGGAAATGCCGCCTGGTGGTGTGCGGGAACTACCTGAAGGGAGCTGGAAGAGGTCCTGGAGATCGTTCGGAGGCAGCTCAGCTCTATGCAGGTGGGGCGGATACTACATGCTTGAGGACCTCATTGGCACTGGCCGCTTCGCGAGGCTGGCAGGCGGCTAGCCTGGACATTAAGACTGCTTTCTTGAACGCACCTCTACGAACACTTCAGGAGAGCAGCCGGAAAAAGAACCTTGCCTTGGAAGACGCCCATGGTCGACCCCAAGAGGATCATGAAGAAGCTGGAGGAGGTCGCGATGGTCAAGAAGAGATGGCCATGGAAGAGCAGCAGGAGGAGGACCTCACGAAGAGGAAACGACTGGCGCTCATGCTTCCTCCGAAGATCCTCATTCGGCTGGGATTGGTGAAGGACGGGGAAATGTGGTTGGTGGAGAAGGCCCTGTATGGCTTGCGTGAGTCTCCGAAGCTTTGGGGGGACTACAGGGACATCGAGATCAGCCAGATGTCCTTTCAGGCGAACTCCGTCACCTATGAGTACCAACAGAGCTTCGCGGAGGAGAACTTGTGGTTGGTGCGTCGGAAAGATGCCGGAGATGGAGACCAGGTTGAGGGACTCGCCTTGGTGTACGTGGATGATGTGATGCTCTTCGGCACCGAGGAGATTGTGAGGGCAGGGCTCCAGAGCTTTCGAAGGACCTGGGAGACGTCCGAACCTACGTGGGTGGGAGATCGTGAACCAGTTCGGTACTGTGGAATGGAGTTGAGCCGAACTGAACAAGGAGACTTCTTTGCCAATCAATGTTCCTACTTGAGGGAAGTGGTTCGGCGACATGGCATGGAGGACCTTTGCAGCGCTCAGATGATGAAGGAATCCCAGGAACCCGAGGATGAGCTGGATCGCACGCCCTTGCAGGTCCGAGAGGCGCAACAACTCGGAGGAGAACTTTTGTGGCTGGCAACGAAGACGAGGCCGGACATTGCCTACACGGTCAGCCGAATCTGCTCAGCGACGAGCCGGGCCCCAAAATGGGCGATCCAAACCGCATACCAGCTGATCAGGCACTTGAATGCCACGCAGGGCCTGGGCTTGTGGTACAGGAGAGACGCCAACTTCATCCTGGAGTCAGTGAGTGATGCCTCTTTCGCTCCAGGTGGTGCTCATAGCCATGGCTGCGTGATCACAACGGTGGCCGGAGCACCGGTGGCATGGAAGAGCTGCAAGCAGCCGTTCCCCGCCCTTTCAACCGCGGAGGCAGAGCTCATAGAGGTCATCGAAGCTGTGGTCGTGGGAGACAGCATCGCATGTCTGGTTGATGAGATGGCGAAGGACGTCCCGAAGTTCCTCAAGCGCGACAACACAGCTGCAGTTTCAATAGCAAGTTGTGCAACTGGAGCGTGGCGTACAAGACACTTGAAGGTACGGGCCGCCCACCTCAAATGGAGGATCCAGTCTGGTCAATGGGAGCTGAAGTACCAGCCTGGAAGAGAGCTCATCGCGGACATCGGCACCAAGTCGTTGCCAGTGGCCCGGGTCAACGAGCTGAGGCAACGGATGGGAATGTCATGGCAGCCTGACTCAGTGGACGAAGTGCATGAGGAGGACAAGGGCATTGTCGCACCGAGGGCTATGAAGTTGGTCGCGAAGTACCACTTGGAGAAGGCCATGAGGCTTGTTGTGGTGTTGTCGGCATTGAAAGAGGTGCATGGAGCCATGGCGGAGAATGTCACCAAGAATGCCGATGAGAATGTCGAGGGTGACCAGATCTTGTACCTCCTCAGCGTCATGATGATGTTGCTGGGAATGGTGCTCATGAAGGTCATTCAAAAATGCCGTTTGCATTGGAACCGGGTGGAGGACGATCCGGCGACGCGTAGAGTGAGGGTCTCTCGCTTGGCTGGTCAATCTTCTTCCGGGACAAGGACTTCTACCAGACCTCAAGGAGGAGGAGATCAAGAACCACGTCAACGTGATGGGGAATGGCAGCAAAGGAACCATGAAGGGCAGAGTGCTTCATCCTCATCACCAAGGGGTACCAGGATGGGCGGAGGCATTGAAGATGGACATCAAGGGAGACCGGATCCCGCGCTGAATGAGCCACAGGAGGAGCCGCCGAATCAAGCTGACCTACCTGGAGGGCATCATCTGCAGATCACCCTGACTGGGAGGAGGAGGCGATTCCCCAATGAGCCAACGTGGAAGATCTGGTTCGCGGAGTCCAGCAAGTGCTTCCATAGACAGCGGAGCTGCAGGGGATTGAGCAAGGCCAACCGAGTTCATGAACAACCGGTGTGTGGAGCCTGTCAAAGGGCCACCAGAGGCCAGAGAAGTCTTCGAGAGACGAACTTCGTCTATGAGGACCAGCTCGGCAACTTCCACACCGATGCTCGGTGCAATGCGGTCACGGGACCGATGACTGAGATCCGCCAATGTAAAGTGTGTGGCGGTTGAAGCGGTTTGAGCCTACGGCTCGATTTTCGAATGCTGGTCAGATGCTAAACGCACGACCAGGGAGGAGTGCTGGTCCGCAAAGGATGACACGCACAAAACGAGAAGTGTACACTCGACAGCCGCTTTTATGCTCGAAAATAGGAGCGTTGAACCTTGCAGTATAAATTCTTGATACCAACATGCAGTCAAAAACTGAAGCTCAGCTGTTTCAGACTAACAAAGCCAGGAGTAAGAAGTCAGGGCCGGTCATACATACATCACCCATAAGGCTGAGCTGACGGCCAGAACCAGAAGAGATTCCTTAGCTCCACGTCTCCGGACTGCAGACCTTTGTTCCTAGTAGCGATGCCAGGAGCGCCTAGTAGCGTCCTTGCTCCTAGTAGTACGAAGAACACCTGTATTCAACGGCTGGAGAAGCACTGCCTTCATAGTCTGTTTCCATTGAAGGACGGGCACGTAGTGCTAGATTCAGGCGAGAAGCTTGAAGTGTCGCACCAAACGTGTAGTCTCGTCCTGGAACAGGAACAACCACAACGGAGGAATTAATACAGAGAAAAAGTAACAAACACACACACACAAAGTTGCATGTTTTCTCTGGCCAGGAAATCATCTTCAATACCAGACCGGAGCACGGGCCTTGTAACGAACTGTGGTGGATGTGTGCCGGATTGTCGCCTATCAAAGGTTGACGAATCGATGAAGTAACTCCAACGGACTCAAACAACCTCAAGCCTCAACACCGTCATTTCAACAAAAGAAATGAACGCTGTAGTCTCAAAGCAAGCGCTTTCGCCTCAAAAAGTTCGTTGAAAACGACGATCACACCCACACGGATCCAGGACTGGGCGGTGCTCCACATCTCGTGTGAACACTGAGACCAACCAAACCCTGGCTTCAATAGTGACGCTTCTGGCTGATTTACTGGCCCTGTGGTAATTCCCCTCCGCCATGTCGGTGAAGTTGGAGCCTCAGCTAAGCTTTCTCTGAAGCCAGCTTAGACGACAATCCACTTTCTGCTCCTGTGCGCACTGCCAACTTGCTGGATTGCACTGACCAAAAGCCAACTGGAAGCTGAGCATGAAACACATAATGGCTACCTTGTCCTCTGCGTCCAATTCCAGCATGACCTCTCAACTTGCTGCAAAACTTGCCAATACACCAAAATGTTTGCAGTGCAAACCAATGTTGATTCTGTCCTTTCTCAGCATATCAAGGAAAACAGTGCTGGCCAGGTGTGCGCACCGCGGGTTCTAAGAACATGCGCTGGATGCAATAACACCTGAGTCTTGAGGCATGAGGATTAGCAGTGGGAATCAACATTGGCAAAACGAACTTGCAAGCACTGCCATTGGCATGTCCATTCTGAGTTCTCCTGGCATGACAATTGTGGAACCGGGATCACGCTCGTAGGCAAGCTCCGCTGTTGCCAAACCTGACCAAAAGCTGGCTTGACAGTAAAAGAAACGTGTCTCAATGGCTTGTACTTATAGTACCTCTTTTCACTCGCCGCAATTGCACTGGATAGATTTGGCCCTGGCAGTGCCTATGATCTCGTAGTTTTGTAGCTTTGGTCCAACCGCCTCAGCCACTGCCAACTCGTGACATGAATAACAGGAAAGAAGATCTACTGGTCTAGCTCTGAGTCTCCTTGCACACTGCTTTGAAGAGAACACTGCCTGTCCTTGCACATGGTCCACATCTGCCTTTACAAAAGGCCTAGGTTGTACGGTTGTACACATGTCAAACCGTCAAGCCGGCTCAAACAATGTGCTGAAAATTAAAAAATCATACCAGCATAGACCCCAAACATCTTAGTCGGCAAGAATTGATGTTGTGGGCAGCCACAGCCCCAACCCTACCTCAGAAAGCAATGTAATCAGCAGGACAACAGAAGGACAACAAAGGACGCAAAGGACAAAAGGATGAGGGAAGGAAAGCAAAACGAACCCACCACACACCAAGAGACAAGCTGTGGCGGACACCGCCAAAAGGACAGCAGGACAACACGAGGGGAGGACGCCAAGCGGAGAATTAGAGCAAAAAAGCAGAGATAGAACATGAGGAAGAGAGGACCGAACAGATTTTGACAAGAGGAAAAGAAAAGGACATCCAGATAGGGTTTGCCGGCGCGGCCTGACACTGTGGGCAGCTTTTGTTTTCGGTGAAGGGAGCCCGCAAGAAGAGGACAAAAGGGGGACAAAGAGAGGACACCAGGAGGACAAGAAGAGGACAGCGTTGGCCAGCACGGCCAGAGGACAACAGCAGGACAACTGCAATCACCAGGAGGACACCAGGAGGACAAGTCCTCGACACAGGGTTCAGGGGTGCGGCCAGAGACTGTGGCCAGCTCCTTTTTTTCTAAGAGAGAACCCCAACAGTAAACTGTTTGGGGATAAACAAGTTCAAGTATAAAACACCGGTGGTCTCTATTGATGCTGCTCTTTCTCTGAGCGAAGCACGGATTGTCTTGTCCAACCTTCAGTGGCCGGAGGTTAGCCACACGCAAGGACTAGAAATTGATGTAGAGCAGCAAATTGATGACTTTACAAAACGTTTTCCGTTTGCTGGGATACAGACTCGAGCTGTATCAGTTACGATACTTGCCATGTACCTGGAGGCAACATACGATCATTGGCTCTGAATTCAGTACTAGCATTGGCTCTGTACTCACATCTTGAACTCGTCTTGCTAGCTGTTTTGCCACGTCCATTGTGCTCTTTCATGCAGACGGCGCTGCTCACCGGCAGTTGGCTGGAGGGTTTCGCATAGGCCTGAGTCACAAGACCGGGGACTGGGGAAATTGCAAACCCTTTGCAGCAAACAAGTGCGGCTTGCTGCATGACAAAATAAAGGGCACATGACCTCTTGTGCACAGCTAAATGACACAAATCAAAAATGAATTGCTATCAAGGTCGGGTTGTTGTGTACAAGCATTTTCCTTCAGGTCAAAATGCTCTGGAGTCTTCCCCTGTTGTCAGCTTGGTGTCCTGCGAAGGAACATGTTTTCCATTGGCTTTGGCCAGGTCCAGCTTTCCAGGCAAAATTGCCTCTGCGTGTCAGATTCTGAAGCACTAGGAGCAAGGACGCTACTAGCGGCTCCTGGCCTTACTACAAGCTACTAGCAACAAAGGGCATCGCTACTAGGAGCAAAAAGCTGCTACGAGCAAAGGTGCATGAAATATCGTCAGGCAAGTGACCTCCAAATCGCAGGACAGGACGCGCACTTGGGGCCTTAGCGCATTCAAGTGTCCTCGACTTGCCTGGAATGAGAGAGTCTCCTTCTGGTCAAAAAGCCCCTTTGAAACCCTTCTAAGCCTTGCACGCCACAACTCCATCAGGTTGAGAGAGTCTTACGCACTGAACCTGGCTTCACCGAAATTGCCTGATCCAATCATAAGAATCGTGTCAGAATTGGCCTCCTGGTCGGCAAAGAACACCTGGGTAGCTCAGCAAAGCATTCAGGTTGATGACTTGACTTGACGCCCGGATTCATGGCAAGACAAACTACATGAAACATCAGGAAACTACCAAACGAAAATATAGCATGAATGGTTTAAGGTAAGGTATCTTTCGCCCGATTCCTTACTTGCAATGTTCACTAAAAATTGAACTTCCTGCATTCTCTTGGTTTTGCAACGGTCAACCCAAAGAACTGAAGCTGAAGTCTGAAGCCACGACTGCTGCAATCCACTGGAAGCTGACATTGGTCTCATTGTCTAGAGACCTAAGTAGACATGAGCTGACAACATGTGCATATCCTTTCTTCGACACAAAAACTAGTCTTACAAAGTTGCGATACTCCAGAGTGGCACCAACCTCCTGGTATCTGCTCAATATGTTGTAAATTGCTTATATACATATAAATGTGTATATATATATACACACTCGCACAATGTGTCAAGCGCCGTCTTTGAACAGTGGTGCCAGATGCCACAAAAAACTCAATTATGGAGAGACTAAGCACCGATCTCTGGCATCGCTGGGCATCCTGCATAAGCACAAGTACTGCACCATGCAGTCCAGTAAGACATTTCACTAAGAAAATCAAAGCCAATAAATATATAACTGTTCCACGCTGTGTGTGCATGTGTATGTATATATATATATATATATAGCGACGGCGGACTAGATAAAAATATTTTTGACTCGGGGCGACATTGATTTTTGGACTTGTTTTTTTTGACTTTTTTTACTATCTTGATTTTGCTGGTATTTACAGCACTTTGGGCACGTGGTGTTGATTTTCACTGGTA